GACACAACCGGGGAGCCGGGGCTGACCACGCTGTGCCGCACCGCGGGAACCTGGACAGGCCGTCCCGGGAGCTCGGCTTCTCTGTTGGGCGTAACTGGGGAGAAGGACGTCGGCTTCCTTCTTTCTTTTTAAATATATTTTATTGATTTCAGAGAGGAAGGGAGAGGGAGAGAGAGAAACATCAATGATGAGAGCGACTCATGGACCTGCTGCCTCCTGCACGCCCTCTACTGGGGATCAAGCCCGAAACCTGGGCCTGTGCCCTGACCGGGAATCGAACTGTGACCTCCTGGTTCATAGGTTGACACTCAACCACTGAGCCACATGGCTGGGCATATTCCTTCTTTCTTACTCCCTTGGCTGAGTATCTGCACCCACTGCGCGGGCCGGCGGGGGAGCCCTGGGCACCGACACCTGCTTTGTCCCCAGTAGCAGGCACTGTGCTCTGTGCACCCCAAGGTGCCTCACTTCCCTCCTTCCCAAGGTCACCGGTGTCCCCCCAATTTCCCATTGTGCTTAGAAGGGAACACAAAATCCTGAACAGAGAACCAGTCCCGAGAGACCCGAGGGCCCATGGGAGGCACATTAACTCACCAGGCGCCAGGGGCCCTTCCTTTTCTTTCCTTAATTAGGTCATTGATCAGCAACATTGATCAGCACACGTGGTGCCTGGTGGGCCGTTCTCTCGGGTGAAGATCGATGATGCTCACTTTCAGGCCATCCATCCCGGCCGACACTCATGGGGAGGGACGAAGCTGTGCAGGGGTGGCGGGAGGGGCCCAGGAGGCTGGAGCTCGCCAGCCGACTCCACAGATAACAGGACAGGAACTCGCCCCGACGACGGAGGTTTCAAAGCTGTTCCAACCTCCGGCTCGATGCCGGGCCTCCGTCCTGAGAGGGAGCAGGGACTGGCCAGAGCAGGGACAGCGGGAGGCCTCCCAAGGCCCAGCCAAAGGCCACTTCCACGCATTCCAGGGACGCCTGATGGGCCTGCTAACCCTCCCCCACACCTGTCACAGCTAATTACCCTTTGTGGGGAGCCCCTTTCCACTCCACTGCTGGGCTTATCACGGTCAAACCTGGAATCATGGATCGGCTGCCCCCTGCACGCCCCTAGTGGGGATGGAGCCTGTCCAGGGATCGAGCGAGCAGGGACGCTGGTCCACAGGGCTCCCGGCTCAGAGGGGTTTGCTCTGGCCTCCTGTGGACCCTCCTTCCTCCTCTGCCTCTGACGGACTTCCATGCCTTCAGTTTGGGGGGGGGGGTTTAGCTCCACTTTAGGGAACTTGCCCGGCTGGCCTCACCCACAACTTCCTTCCCAAAATCCTTGGTCCCCAGGAGGAGACGGAAGGGCTCATTCCTGTGCGTGCGAGGGGCTGCCTGGCTGTGCAGAATTCAGGCCGCCCAGGGCGGGCAGCCCCCAGAGCACACCTGCTGCTCTCCCCGTGGGCGTGAGGGCCAGTGGTTTCCTCCAGGAGCCTGGCGGACGGCCTGTCTGCAGGGGGCTGGTTTGTGGGGTGGGAGATGGCTCCCCAGCTCCGGCCCCTGGAGGGATCTGGCTCAGCGGCAGCCCATCACAGACCCGTCCTCGGGCGCCCCCTGGCGGCGGGGGAGCGCCTTGCTGGCTCCATGCACTCTGGGCCCTCATTGGAGTCGCCCTTAGCCAGCTGGCCGCAGTATTGAGTTGTCCTTAATACTGAGATGATCCTCTGGGCAGAGCCACTCTCCACCAGACAGAACGATTAAATTTACAGCTCGATGGGTGGCGATCGATAGAAATGAAATATGAGACCACTTACTGTGTCCACCAGAAACAGCAGGCCCGAGGCGCCTCCTCACGCAGCCCAGCCCGCCAGCTCCCACGGGGGTCTCTGCACAGGTGGGACGGTCCAAACGCACCTTTGTTTTCTCTTTGCCCCAAATAAGTACCGCATCCTTGTGGGGCGGGGCCGATGGTGCTGCAATAATGAGCCGCCCCAGCTGCCAAGGCTGGCGCCTCGCAGGCGCAGTTCCAGTACCTGCCAGCAGGGGGAGCGCTGCACACGCTGGAAACGCGGGACGTGGGGCCGGCCCAGTATTTGCAATGTTGAATGTTGCTCGTCCTCTTTCAGACGAGCCAGCTCAAGCCTGGACTGGAAGCCACTGCCCCTTCGTGCACCGCTCACTGGCCAGAGCTCGTTCCGCGCCGCCAGGAAGCGGAGTCCCAACCCTGAGCGGCCAGCGGAGACCGGGAGGTACCGGTGAGCAACACCTGTGACCAGCTGGTTTAAGGACTGGCTGGGGCCCTAGCTGGTTCCCTCAGTGGATAGAGCATCCGCCTGCGGACTGAAGACTGGCTGGGTTCTGAGCAAACCCAGGCGATCTGGCTACTTAATGCAATCCCGTCTGGCATGAAGACCAACAGCCCCCGAGGCGTGTCTATCTCTTTAAGGCGTGTGTGACCTGCCCCAAACACATGCATTTCAGAGGCTAAAGCATTCTCTATGCACCAGGAAAGGGCATGGAGGCCCCTCTCCTCCCCACGTTCGCCCTCCACTGGCAGGGACTCCAGGAACAGTGAGTACAGCTGGGCGCGTCATCTCCCAGGAGCACGTAGGTTTATTGGTTTAAACCAAAAGAAAAAGAGGCTGGCCCAGCCAGTGTGGCTCAGTGGTTGAGCGTTGACCCAGGAACCAAGAGGTCACAGGTTTGATTCCCACTCGGGGTACATGCCCGGGTTGCAGGCTTGATCCCTAGTGGGGTGTGAGCAGAGGCAGCCGATCGATGTTTCTCTCTTACCAATGTTCCTATCTCTCTCTCCCTCTCCTTTCCTCTCTCAAATCAGTAAAAACATTTTTTTAAAAAAAGATTGATATCACACCTCTTCCCAGCGACTCCTCTCCTCGAAGACCGGGCGGGGGGCTCCCGTCCACCCCCCACCCTCGATCGATGTTTCTCTCTTACCAATGTTCCTATCTCTCCCTCCCTTTCCTTTCCTCTCTCAAATCAGTAAAAACATTTTTTTTAAAAAAGATTGATATCACACCTCTTCCCAGTGACTCCTCTCCTCGAAGACCCGGGCGGGGGGCTCCCGTCCACCCCTCCCGCCCCCCGCTCCCTGAGGTCCCTTGTCCCGAGGGGAGGCTGGGCAGGTGCTCCTGTCTGCCGTGTGGCCTCGCCAGGTGCCTGGCTGTCCTCCAGCTGAGGGGACCGCTGGCACCAGGGACCAGGAGGCCATGGCATCGGGGCTGCCTGAGGCCCGAGGCTCACCCTTCACACAGGCCGGTAGAAAGCTTACTTCAAAGTCGTTTTTTTTATTCAACTGCGACTCAGCAATATACAATCCAGTGTATAAACAAGTGTCTGACCTTGTTTCCCGTGTTTATTTAAAAATAAATATTATTGACAGTGAATTTAATTATGATAAGATGTATCTTTTTTAATCCAAATGTCTCAAAAAGAAATAATTTACTTTCATAAAAAAAAGATAAGCCCCCAACGGAAAATGAGAAATTAAAAAAAAAACAAAAACTCCTAAACACAATCATCTACTAAAAATACGTTCCTTTGTCAGGAAGGCTGTGGCCCAACATTTTCACGCCGTCTCCTAAGATAACGGCTCGGCAGTTTGTGCAAAATGAAGAGCTGGAGGCGAAGCGGAGAAAAGAAAAGTTCGCAGAAGTAGAGACTCATGGGCCGGGAGCACGGGCCCGCCCCATCTCGTTTGGAAACTGGGTGCGTGGTTTCGGTTTCTACACTGTGTAACTCCCCCACATGATTTGGTTTCCACGTGGACTTGGTCATGCTTCTCTCGGTCTCTCAGGGTCCATCCGGCGACCCGGTCCTCGCCCGGGTCTGGGTCTGGGTGGGCGGTGTGGCCCCGCTGAGGCGTGCAGGCCGGGGGGGGCGGGGGGGATGGGGGGGAAGCTGTCAGTGCCCCACCAGCCGGCCCAGGAGCGTGTGCAGAGCCAACAGGAGCAGCGACAGGCGTGGGTCCGCGGAGGAGGTGGGGCCGGTGCCTGCAGGGGAGGGAAAACAGTTAACGCCTGATTCACAGGATCCCAGTGGCCCCGAGAGCAGACAGGCCGGCAGAACATCCCGGCCTGGGCCTCCGGACCGACGCCTTCAGGAGCCGGCTGAGGTCAGACTCGGGGTGCTGGCTCCAGCGGGGGTGCTAGGTTGGAGGGCTGGAGTCCAAGTCATTGTTTGTTGATTAAAAAGACAGGGGCCTCCTTTGCCGCTCTGGCTGGCACCCAGCCCTGGGACGGACGAGGGGGGATGTGGTGCCGGATGAGTGGCCGGCCGGCCGGGGGCCTGCGGAACTCACTCGGGCTCAGGGGCTCCCAAAACAGGGAGAGGCCCAGACGCAGCATCTGGGCCCGCGTTCCTTGGGGGCCACACGACCAGCAGCTGCGGGTCTTCTCAGATGAGATCCCCCTCACTGCTCCCCGATCCCACCCTGGGCCCAGGGTGGCTGCCAGGCCGGTCCGGCCCCTGTGCACCATCCAGCCTGGCCCCGGGGCCGCCTGAGTTTGCCATCACAGAGCCACTTCTGGTGCAGGGTCAGGAGGCCGGGCTTTCGTCCCTCCTCTGTCCCTACGTCGCTGTGTGATGTGGGGGCTGGTGCTCCTCGCCTTGACCTCCCTGCTGGCCACCGGCGCCTCCCACCCCCCACCCTGGCTCTCGGCCCACCACAGACACTGCACCGGGCGTGCCAGGTGGTCCAGCCGCAGCCGAGTGGGAAAATGTCACCTTGCAAGGCGGCTGCTTCCCTTGCCGGCGTTTTAATTAAAGCCTCTTCACGGATATTTATTCAGGGGAGCCGGTGAGGAATAATGGAGCCAACAAAATCGGAGAGAATTAGTTTCTGCTGTAAAATTCATGTGTGCCGGTAATGAGGGCCGAGGCTGGGAACAAACGCCATTGGGCTTCGGAGGGAATAGAGATCTTAGAGAGGAAGCGCGTACGGGGTGCGGGTCTCGTCCTGTGCGGGTCCGGCCTGCTGGCCTGCCCACCGCAGCCCCAGACAGCTGCCCCTGGGGCTGAAGACCAGCTCTGTTTACATCCAGCTCCCCCCCTGCCTCCCCCATGGCTTTTTGTCCCTCAAGGCGGATATACCCCAGGGCCCCCTGGTTAGGCCAGCAGTGGGCTCCATGGAGGCTGCTCAGTGTTCGGGTCCCGGCCTCAGCCTTCCTGTCCGGCGCTCGGCAGAGCCGGGCCTGGCCACACAAAGGCGGGAATGATGTCCGAGGCCCGAGGCCCGAGGCCGGGGAGGCAGGGCTCCCTCCGGTCGGCTGACCTTGCCTCGTGCATTTCCGTCACTTTCGTCTTTAATGCGATGACTCGTCTGCCCACCTGGAGATGTAATTTGTGAAATGCTCGAAAAAAGATGCATCTCCACTAACTTTGGCACGGGTAACAATGCCCCATGGCCTGGCCGCCTCCCCCGTGTCCAGCAGAGGGGGCCCTTGCTCCTGCCCTCGCCAGGGAGCGACGATGGGGCCGTCTGAAGGCGGAGGGGGGCTGGGGCAGGTGGGGACCGGTTGTGTTCCCTGGTGCCACCCTCCCCCCTCCCGAGGCCCGGGGACTGCAGGCAGACGTGGCCGCGTGGGCTTCTGGGCCCAGGCAGTCTGTGCCATGCCGGCCCCCGGGACCTCTCTCCCCGAGACCCCTTCCTGGGAGATTCAGGCTCCTGCTGGGTGGGAGGCGGGCTCAGTGGGGCGTGGAGGGGTGGCGGATGGGCAGAAGGAGGGTCCTGGCCTCCGGACTCTGTGTGCAGCCCGCTCAGGCTCCTGGCATCTCCCCTGGTGCTCTTTGTCCTGCCTTGTCCCCATGCATCCCAGGGGGCCAAGCCCCGACCAGAGCCAAGCCTGCAACCCACCTACGTGCCCTTGACTGGGAATCAAACCCACGGCCCTTTGGAGCGGGGCCGACGCTCTAACCACTGAGCAACGCTGGCCAGGGCTTGCAAATGTGTCTTAAAACCGAGCTGGCATCTCCCACACCGCTCAGGGTAGGCCACAGCCAGGCCCTGCATCTGGCCGCACGGAGCAGAACGAATCGATGTCGCATTACAAGGGCACTTGACCTCGGTGACCCCAGCGATGCCTGGGACCCCTTCACACCCCGAGCTGTGAAAAGGGGCACCTGGCGGGTTTAAGGAGCAGCTTCTCGCTGGGTTTGGCTCCTGGTGACATTTAGAAGGGCTGGCGCACCACCCGGCTCGCTCGTGGGGGCGGCCCCCCAGCTGGGGCCGGGGTCCGGCTCCGGAGGGAAGCGTTTGGGGCCGTGAGGCAGGAGGATCAGGCTGAGCCTCGGAGGAGGGAAGCCGCGAGACATGCACGTGGCAAAGGCAAGTTCTGAATTATCCCCATCAGGGTCCCCGGTGCCGCTGCTTTGTCCCTAAGCTGGGGTCTCCCTACGGCCGAGAGAATGGCCGCACGCGAGCCGACTGGGCACTCCGTGGTGGACAAAGGCCGCTCACTCCATGGGGTTGACTTTCTCATCCCACGGGGTACAGGGTGGGGAGGGGAGGCAGTCTCTCAGAAGCTTTCCCAGGACAGACCTAAGCAGAGAGGCCAAGCTCTGAACTCACACACCACCTACAGGAAGCCTCCCCGGATTGCCTCACTGGACAGGGGCCATCCCTGCTTGGGACTCCCCCTGACACAGACGGCTCTGCCCCGGTGCTCCCCGGGTGCCCTGACGCTCCCGAGCTGGGTCCGTGGCCACCGTTGCTGATTGCGCTCATGGCAGCCATGTGACCGGCTGGTGAGAGGTTGGCACGCGCCCGATAACCACCCACGCTGGCCACCGTGGGGAGGAGCCGGCATCTCCTGCCAGCAGTGAGGCCCAGCCATGTCCTTTATGAAACCCTTTCCTCGTTCAGAGGCTCAGAGAGCCTCGCCCCCTCTCCTCTACTCGACTTCCGCCAGATTTATTTCTCTTTCACAGCGGTCCTCCGGTCACATCGGAGAGGAGGGGAAGAGCGGACAGTTGCTGTAAGGTGGTCGTTTCCAGGTGCTTGTGGGTCTGGGGAGGTGGGAAGCCCAGGGCACTGCGCCTGGCCCTGCCGTGCCATTGCCGCCAGCTCCGTCACCACTGAGGGCTCGGGTCAGAGTGAGCGCCTTCACCTCGTCCAGAGCCCCCTCTGCTCGTGGTGTACAGTTGCCATGGCGACACCCCAGGATGCTCCCAGCAGCCACAGCCTCTCCAGGCCGGCACCCCCATGGCCTTGGCTGTCTTTCTCGAATTGGTCATTGCAATACGGAGAGTCAGCCCTCTGCGTGGGCACCAGGCAGCGTGCGCCACATGCAGCTGGCTCTCTGGGGGGCCAGGCGCCTCTCCTGCAGCACAGCCCCCAGGCTAGTGAGGGGGTCACACGCCGACACGCCACAGATCCAGTCCCCTGCAGAGGGGACCCTCCGGCCAACATACCCGCCGCTCCCTGTATTCTCCTGCAGCCGACCCGGCCCCCCTCTGTGCTTCCCTGTTAAAGGGCTTGTCTGGAAGGGCCTCTGCTTTGTTTAATTTCTCTTTATCCCCTGCCCCTCCCCCCGCCAAATGGCTCCAGCAACAAAGTGCTCAGGAGAAATGGGTCAGCACTCAGATGAATGAGGAGCCGGATTTACGGACGCAGCTAAGAAGGGCCCGTCCCCTGAGCCGGCGCTGCTGCGTGGATCCAGCCCGTGTTGGATATCACAATCTCTTGACACAAATATCACTCTCTTGACAAATGAGATGTGAAACCGGTGAGTTTTTGCACATAAACTTCCAGTGCAGATGTGTCTGGAGGCGTTGGGCAGAGGGACGCAGGAAGGGGTCTGGCCAACAGTAAAGGCAGGAGAACAGCAAAGAGAGCTGGGGGGGGGCTGTCCAACACGTCACGGGGCCCACAAGTTACCAAATCATGAGGACGCATGTGCAAATGACCTGAACCTAAGGGGATGTGGGGGATCCCCCGCACGCACCCCCCCCAATCCCGGGACCTTTTTCCAGTCCAGGATGGCAGCCTAGGATCAGCCCCACGCCCCCCAGCATCATCCCAGGGCTCTGCCGGCGCCCCGTCCCCTCTCTGCACACACCTCACCAGGGCGCACACCTTCCCGGGCGCACACTTACTGGAGCCATGCCTCTGGCGCAGAACCACCTGGCCAGGTGGTGAAGCTGACGAAGCAGCGGTTGCAGCGGCGACAGTGGTGGTGGCTGCGTGGGTCGCGGAAGCGGCGGCCTCGGGGACTCCGGGACCGGGGG